TAACAGTAGTGTCACTAAAGTTGGTATTCAATCCCCCATTGCTGAATTTGACTGGCTTAAAAAAAAAAAAAAAAACAGGGTCTCACTATGTTGCCCAGGCTGGTCTTGAACTCCTGGCCTCAAGCAATTCTCCCACCTTAGCCTCCCAAAGTGCTAGGATTACAGGTGTGAGCTACCACACCTGGCCTGTATCCTCTTCTTATAAGGCCACAGTCCTATTGGATTAGGGCCTCATACTTATGGCCTCGTGTAACCTTAATTACCCTGAAAACCTTATCTCCAGACACAGCTACATCGGGGGTTTGGGCCTCAGTGAATGAATTTGGGGCGACACAGCTCGGTCTATAGCAGCGCCCTGCAGGTGGTGGTGATGTACCGTGACTTGGTGTGGGTTGGGGTTACCCGAGTGTGTGTCAGAAGTCATCAAATGTGTGCCTTTCATTGCGTGTTTCAAAAAACAAGAACTGTGAACGAGTATCGAACGCTAACAACTGATGTGCAGGCCGACAAGTCCAGGCCGAGGTGCGGAAGCCCGCGCTGGGTGGACGGGGATGGAGGACAGCACAAGCCGCCCACTGGCTCCAAGGAGCGAGGGTGCAGGCGTCGACTGAAAGAAGAGTTTCATGATAAAATATTGGGAAAAATTAAAAATGCAGATTTAAAAAGGGCACCCCATCCCACCATAGCCCCCCAGGCCTCAGCCTCTGTTCTGAGGCAGCCCCCACAGCCAGGGTTTCCGGATCCTTCCAGAAACATCAGTCAATAGTCAAGTGCACATCTCTTCTTTTTGTTCCACCTGTGCAGTGGGACAGGTGTCAGGCACGTCCGCCCTTGCCTTTTCCATGCGACAGCACCTCTTTGGTGAGTGGCCTGTTTCCAAGGCCTGCAGAGGATCCTGCATTTACCAGACCCCTAGCGACGGAGACCAAGGGTGTTTCAGGCCTCCCTAGGGGACCTCCATTCTGCAGACGATTCCCCGCTTGGGGCCTCTGGCCACAGGCATCCACAGGACCCCGGTGACAGGCAGCACCCACCCCGCTGAGGCTGAGGACTCACTTGCCTGCCCAGCAGGAGATGCCCTGGGGGTCCAAGCTGGGGTTTGCCTCCCAAGCGCCCCTCTTCTCTCAGCTCCCACTGCACACTCTGTGGCAGGCCCGGCCCCGCCTGGGTTGTGCTAAGCTGCAAGAAAATCCTCACTGCCCTGCACTAATGGTGGCCCTAAAGTGAGCCAGGGCAGCCATTACTGGCCCTGAGCAGGACACGGTGAGCCGAGGCCACTGCAGGGTGCGGGGGGGGGGGGGGGGGGTTGGGGAGGACTCTCGGCTGTGCTGGGTGGGCAGGAGCAGCCCGGTTTGGTAGGGAGGCGGGGGACGCACTTGGACCGTGTCCTACAGCGCTGGTCAGGCCCTGGACGTGCCCTCCTTACAGCGACGCCGTTGTACAGAAGAGGAAACTGAGGCTCAGAGAGGCTGTGTTCGCTCAAGTCTGCGCGGTGTTTATTCCCCGCTCAGCTCGGGGCGGCCCTGGTTCTGCCGCTGAGAGACAAGCCGGGCCGGGCCGTCCTGTAAATAAATGCCTGGTCTTTGCCTCCCCTCGCTGGCTCTCCCCGGCTCAGCCTCTGGCCTCGGGCCCAGGCTGTCCTTTCGTGGGAACAGAAGCCGTGGGTGCGGGAACGCAGCCCCCGTCCCGGCCCGGCCCGGCGCTGGAGGGGTCGCGCAACCTGGAGTGTCTGGAGCGCCCTCTGCTGGCCGGAGAAGCCCCAGACGGGGGCCACCCAACCCCCGTCCTGATGCGGAGGGGAGGGCGGGGCAGAGGCCAAGACAGGGTGCCAGTGGATTTAAAGCAGGGGTCTCATACTGGCCGCCTCGGGGCAGTTGCCCAAAGACCATTTCTTCCTTTAGGTCTCACGGTAGTGTCCAGTGCTTAAACACAGAGAGGGCAGATGGTGCTTGAACTTCAGATTTTTTAAAAATTAGAAGATCTGCTCACTGTGGGCCCTCATTTCCTGGGCACAGTTGGGAGGAGCTGAGCAGGACGGGGCGAGTGCATTCCTGCTGGCCGCAGACCCCACCAGCCCCGTGGGCATTGCACCTTCGGCCAGCGGTGGTGTCGGGAAGCCTGTGGGCCCCAGGGCAGCCGTGTCCCCCCAGACAGGCCCAGCCCTGTGGATCTGGCCCCGCTAACACCGGACAGAGAACCGAGGGGAGGACAAGTCCTCCGGGAGACGCAGCTCATGCTGCCAGAGCAGGGTCTGCCCTGGTCGACCTCTTGTGGCACCTTTAGCAGGGGCACAGCACCCGGCTGGTGCCTTTGGGTCTCTGATAGGTGTCAAGGAGGGTGTGGGTTCCTTCCACGAGGCCCCTGTCACGGTGAGAGGGACAGAGAGTGCAAGGAGGGAGAGGAGACCTAAGTCAACACCAGAATTTGCTTCCGGCCAGCAGGTGGAGGGGCTGCTCTGGGAAGGTAGTGAGCTCCCTGTCACTGAAAGGATTCAAGTGGGATGTGTTCTGGGCCAGCCTGGCCTGGGGGCTGGGGTAAGACCTGGTCTCAGACCCCCCCCAGATGAGGCCATGTGATGTGGGAGCAGAGCCTGGAAGGAACCAGAGGCTTCAAGAGCCCAGCTGGAGGTCGGGGTTGGGGGGCTTCCCAGCTGAGGTGGAAGGTGGGGCTGCAGCATCGGGCCAGGGCCAGGTCAGGTGGGAGCCACGCAATGCTGAGGGCAGTGGGAGCCATGGAGGGTGTGATAGCAAGGGCATGTAGCCCCTGCAGCAGGATGCTTTGAGACCACAGCTCCCTGCACCCCATTTTATGGATGGGGAGACTGAGGACCAAGGATGCCTCAGGGGTCTGGGGCCCCTGCAATCCCATCTGCCTGATAGCAGCTGGCAACTGGTGGACAGCAGAGATGGGGGTTGAGGGACAGACCTGGATTTTGGCCGGCTCCATCTTTCACTTGCTGAGCAACCCTGGGCAAGTCACATAACCTCTCTGAGCCTGCTTCTACAGCTATGAAATGAGCGCTGCACTCTGTGCCTTGCTCGTTCTTGGAGTTCCCGGGAGACAGTGCGTCTCACACTTCCCCACACTCTTCCCTGGCATTGCTATCGGGGAGGCGGAGCTTCATTGGGAGGGGAGTGCTTCACCTTCAGGGAAACTGAGGCCTAGAGAGGGTGAGCAGCCGACTCAGCTCCCGAGGCAAGGCCCTGGCCCGCCAACCAGGGACACCCCACCAGCGGGCCCAGAGCCCCAGGAGCAGGAACAGCAGGCCTGACGCAGATGCAGGCCCCTCCGTGCAGGTTCACCCCTCCCACTGCCCCCGTCCCTCGATGGCCGCAGTCTGGTCTGTCCGTGTCTGTCCGGGCCCCCAGCCCCTCCCGGTTGACACAAAGGCCAGGCCTCCCGCAGGGGCAGCAGGAAGGGGCTCCTGGCCAGCTGGGCTGCAGCGCTGTGGGGAAGTGAGCGGAGACAGGAAGGAAGCTCCACAGCTGGGGTCTGGGGCCGCATTGTCTCACCTGGGGGAGGGGGCGCCCTTGCCACCCCTCAGATACCTCCCTAGCTCTGCAGGGCAGTGGGGTCGCTGGGCCCTCCCTCTCTGGGCCTCACCCTGCTGCTGACTTCCTGCCCCCACCCAGTCCCCACCAGCCTCAGTTTCCCCATCTATGAAACCTTAGTGGATGACGTGTGGGAATTGTGCAGTGGTGATGTCACAGCCAGTGCCAGCTGTGGCTCTGCACCCTGTGCCCAAGGTAACTCATTTGAGCCGCACGATACCCTCTGAGCAGAGGCCGCTCCCTGTCCCCATCTCACAGAGGCCCCTAGAAGCTTGGGGACTTGCCCAGGGCCACACAGAGAGAGAGAGTGGCAGAGCTGGGGCTCAAACCAGCCAGCTGCTCCAAAGCCCGGGGCCCTAACCTGTCTGCTCTCCCGGCTGTGCCATCTCGGACCTAATCCTTTTCTCCAAATAACTCACTTGTCAAGGTCGAATACTCAGTCTCGTCCTGAGCTGTGACGTCACCAGCTTAATGGGGACAGAGGGATTGGTAGGTCGGTAGGTAGGTAGATATAGCTGGGTAGAGATGAATAGATGACCACCAGTGTTGGCGCGTCACATTAAAATGGACACACAGTTACGAAGCTACCAGGAAATCCCATTGCGTGAGCCCCTGCAGTCACCACGCCTCCCAGCTGCGGGGCCCTTCCCAGACACAAGGTGGGGCCACTACCCGCATTGAACAGATGTGAAAACTGAGGCTGAGAGACGGAGGGGAGGGGGATGGGTGGTCACGTGGCTCTTCCTGCGGTGTTCCAGGTGCTCCCTCCCTCCCTACACATGGCCCCGGCTCTGCCCCGCACACAGGAGGTGCCTGGACAGGAGCTCGTCTGGTCCCAGGTGGATGAAGAGAAACAGGAAAGGCCCCAACAGGAAGTGGGGGGAGGAAGCTCTAGGGCCTCCACAGCATCGGGGGCTGGGCAGGGTACCCCCCCCCTCAGGGCTGAGCCCTCCTCCCACAGTTGAGCCGGACTGTAGGACTGTAGCCCCTGCCCTTCTGGCCGGTGGCCAAGAGCCCTCCCGACACCTGACACCCCTCCCCCAGGTCCATCCCGGCCCCTCCCCAGCACCTCAGCAACCCCCAGCCCCTAGCAGCCAAGCGCCTGCAGCCTGCTCAGATTTTATTGAAGGTGGAGCTGGGGGCGCACAGAGATCCACAGACCTCCTCCCCAGCTTGCCCAGAGTGGGGCTCCAGGCGCCCCGGATGTGAGATGGGCTGAGGGTCTCTCCTGGGGCACACGGACTGCTCAGTAGCCCCCATCCCTGCAAGCATCAAGGCACACGCCTTAGCTCTCGCCACCGTGCACAGATTGGGGGGACAGGCAGGGATGGGGGGAGAGGAGTGGGGTGGACGGCAAGCTCACAGCCCCTTTCCCGGCTGGAGAGGGTCCCTGCTGGGGCAGACAGTGAGGGGCAGGGCTGGGTGGGGCCCGGGGCAGGGGCAGGAGCATTACCCCCAGCTCAGGCCCCTCTTGGCCAGCTCCACCTGGGCCAGGTTGCGATCACTCAGCACCCGCACCCTGGTGATGGCGGCCAGCGGCCTCTGGCGGTGCGGGAACTGCAGCACCTTGTGCTCCTGCGCGTAGACGTGGAAGTGCTCCGCGTCCGAGCTCACCTCCATCTGGGCAGGAGGAGCCAGTGACCTTGGCGCCAGCCACAGAGCCGTGGTCTGGTCCCGCGTCTACCACGGCTGAGCTGGCGGCCCCAGGAAGCACAGAAGCCATACTGGCCCGAGGGTCCCTTGACACTCAGCCCCCGCACAGGCTGCCCCCCAGTGTGGGAGCCCAGGGCCCCTCCTTTTTCCCGAGAGGGGTGGCTGGTAGCCGGGGTGGCTGGCGCCCCCACACGCGTGGAGCATTGAGGAGGGGAGGCCCAGGCCCGCGGGCCATCCACGATGAGCCCCAGCCTCCTGCCCCCACAGCCCTGCCCAGGCCCCCCATCACCTCAAAAGGCTCCCCCAGGGCCAGCGGGAAGATGCTGGACACCTCCTCCTCGCCCCAGCGGCCGCCCTGGCAGGCGTTGCCCACCATGGTGGCGCTGGAGAAGCGCGGCTTGATGTGGAAGGCGATGTCCCCCGCCTCAGACAGGAAGTCGATCTCGAATCTGGGGGCGTCACACAGATCATGACAACCCTGTAGGGCTGGGCCAGCCCCCCCACACCCAGGTCAAGAGGGGCACACCGGGGGGTGGTGTCCCTTACTTGTCCTCCCCGGAGTCGGACTGTCCCTGGACCAGCAGGCTCCAGCCAGGGGCCAGGCCCCCCGCACAGAAGGCTTCGAACTGAATGCAAAAGACGGGGTGGGGGACAGAGAGGCCCCACGGGGCTGGAGCCTCCTCTCTCCCTTGCATACCCCACTTGTCCGGGAGAACCCCCGCCCCAGCCAGCTGTCCCCCACCCCGTGGGGACCGTGTTCCTCTGCATGTTTCCTTCGTCACGGGGGCTGGGGGAGTGGGGACAATCCTGCATGCCCCCCCTCTGCCCTCTCAGATGAGAGGGTGGAACGAGCACTCAAGGGCATGGGTGGCTCAGGGACACCCCATCCTGCTCCCTTGTCCCCAAGTCCAGGGTGCACGGCTGCACCCCTGGGCCCCGGTCTCACCCACCTGCAGGGCCATCTGCTCCCGGTCACGGCCGAGGCGGGGGAGCTGGGGATATAGGCAGGGTGGGCTGGGGGCGGGGTGTGCAGGAGCCCCACCCCGGGTGGCTTGACAAGGTCACTGTGCCCTCCCCTCCCCCTGGCCCTCGGGGCTCTCCCTGCCAGCTGGCTGTCCACTCTAGCACGAGGACGGGGTGGGGTTGCCTGCCTATTCCCCCTCGCCAGCTTCCTGGCCCCCCCTTCTGAGGGTCCCCAGGCCTCTGGGAAAGCAGCTCCCCAGCCTTGCAGGGGGGCACAGCGAGATGGGGACCCTAGCCCAGGCTCTTCCTCTGGGGTCATGAGCCAACTCCAGGGACCCAAACCCCCCTGTCTGGCCGAGTGAGGGTGGACGAGGGGTGTGCCCTTGGACCCTTGCCCTGGCTCCTGGGGTCCATTTGACCACCTAGTGCTGCAGGACAGACCACCTGCAAGCCTGTGCCCCTGGCCCACCAGCTTCCCACCCCGCCCTGAGCCCGCCCCAGCTGGCTCAGCGGCCTGCGGGCACGGAGGGGATTAGGCCGGAGCTGGTCAGCGCATTCCAGTGCTCTGGCAGACGGGAGATGGTGGGGGCAGGCCTTTCCCACCCCACCCACGCCCCTCCTGGCCGGAGCCTCAGCCCCTCAGGCTGAGCAAGGGGAGGGACCAGCTGGGCCCCGGGACAGCGTGGAGGGAAGGGGACAGCCGTGGAGACCCCCGAGGAGGAAAGCCGGCCTGAGCTGACCCCGGCTGGGGCAGAGCCCCGGGGCTGCCTGTGCAGGTGAGTGTGCGGGAGCGTGGGCAGTGTGCTCCTGAGTATGAGTGTGCAAGGGGTGGGTGTCAGTGCAAGCGTGTGCCCCCAGGTGGCTGGGGGGCCTTGCTGTGCCCTGCCTGTGTGCCTCAAGAAGATGGCACTTCTCCGGATCCCCAGGTGTCTCCTGGGCCCCCATCCCTGGGTTTCCTCCTGCCCAGTATGCACTCGGGCCGTGGCGGGGCTGGCCCTGTGTCTGCCCGGCCTCTCTGCGGGTGCTGCTGCCGGGCGTGTCCTGGTTTGGGTGGGAGGGTGAGGCGGCTGAGGCTGGAAGGGGACTCGGAGGGGTCCCTGGCTGGTGCCTACCCACTGAGCAGTGCAGGGTGGTGCAGAGCCCGCTCTGTCCTCCTCTCTCCTGCCCAACACTTGGTAGGGATGGCTGCAGCCCTGCAGGGGGCAGCCCTGGGCCTGCGTGGCCTGCCCCTGCCACGACTGAGTCCCCATCCTGTCTGGCCATCCTGGGCCCACAGGCGGCAGAGCCCCATAGCTGCCTCCCCCAGGGACACAGAGGGAAGCCCCTGGCTGCTGTGGCCTGGCAGGAAGGCGAAGCCCAGAGCCGCTTCCCTCCTCCCTGGCCTGTCCCCTGTCCTGTGGGCCTGGGACAGGGCGGTCTTGGCTTCAGCTGCTGGGTGAGAACATGGAGCCTGGACTCTGGGTACAGAGCTGGCTGGTGCCCGGGGCCCAGGGCTGGGTAGAGTATGGAGTCAGAGGACCGGAACAGGCTCCTGGCCTCTGGGCCTCGGGCTCCCTAGCTGTCCCCTGGGCTCAGCAGTCCGGCTCAGCAATGCCAACCTCTGTGCTCTACACCTGTCCCCTGTGCAAGGGAGGGCAGCCTGGGGAAGCCACACCCTGGAAACAGGGACCTGGTCATTGTCCACTCCATCTCTGTCCCTGTCTTCTCCTTTTGGGGCCAGCAGGGGTGCTGGTGGAGAGGCCTCGGGTCTTGGAAGCAGCTGCCTAGAGCCCCAGCTGCACGTCAGGGGGCTATGGGGGGGCTCGGCCCTCACAACTCGCTGGACAGGAGGCCCAGGTGCTGCTGCCTGGGCGGGAAGTCCTGAGACCCTGCTTCACCGCTCTGAGCCCCAGCCCCCCACCTCAGGGGCTCTCGAGGCCAGCGGGGCTATGGGCCAGCCTTGTTCACGCCAGCCTGGGTGTCCACAGCTCTCGGGAAGCTGGGTGCCCCCCAGCCCCGAAAGGACAAAGCAGGCTGAGGGCCTCACCTGGGCCTCCACCCCACGGTTCCACGTGTACCTGGCACGAGTGCGGACCTGTGATCTCACCCTGTCTGACTATGGCCTCAGCACCTCTCCCACGTCGGTAGGAGCCAGGAGCTGCCAAAGCTCTCAGCACCGGGCAGCCAAGGGCTTGGAAGCCAGAACCGGGCTGGCTGGGGACAGAGAGGGAGTCCAAGGACCCCCTGTGGCGGGCCCAGCCCTGCAGGCACAGGCTATCAGCCCCTAAGCCATGGTACCCGATCCGACCCCGGCCCACCTCTATTGTAGCCTCGGGGGTCAGGGTGGCGTGGTGGGCAGTACTCTGCGCGGCTGGCTGGGTGCTGGCTGCCGGGGCCGTGGCTTAGGGCCCAGGAGCAAACAGATTTGCTGTCCGGGTGCCGCCCCCTCCTCCTGTCCCACTGCACACCCTCCCGGATGTGCGGTTTCGCCCCCGGCTGTTGACTTACACAGGCTCCGGGAGGCAGCAGCATCTCCGCCCTGCTCCGGGAGGATCCGCGCCAGGACGGGGCCCATGCTCGGCCCTGCAGCCTCCATCGCCAGGCGGTGCCAGCACAGGGCTGGCACTCAGGGACGCCAGTGGACACTTCCTGCTCACCACAGAAGAGCAGCACCATCTATCGAGTGCTTTCTCTGTGCCGGGCGACCGCTAAGCTCTGTACCTGCATTGTCACATTTACGGCATTATGTGATCCTCCTATTAGAGAAGAATGTAAAAACAGAGAGATTAAGCCACTTGCCCAAGGTCACGCAGGGAGAGAGTAACAATGCCAGGATCTGAATTCAGTGGTCCCTCAGTGTCCTTGCCCCTAAACACCACGCTGGACTGTCTCCTGGTAACAGAGCCTCTCACCAGCCTGGGAAGGGTGGGGGAGATCAGGATTGGCTTCCTGGAGGAGGAGGCACCTAAAGTGGGTCTTGAGGAATGAGTAGGAGTTAGAAGGGGTTGGGGGAAGGGTGCTTCAGGGAAAGGGAGCAACAGGTGCAAGAGCAGGGTGGTTAGGCCCAGGGATGGGAGGCGGGGCTGTGTGTCTCCAGAGGTGCCTGGCACAAATCTCCCAGGGACAATTTGGCAAGGATTGCCTCATCTTTCTGGGAGCTTCCATGGGATCCCTGGAGTTAGGCATCGTTGTACCCATTTGAGTGATGAGGAAACTGAGGCTCCCAGAGAAGAGACCACCCCATGGCCCCACAATGAGGGTACGGCCTCTGGACTCCCTGCCCCGCCCCACTGGCCCTCCCTGCACTCCTGCCCTGCCCACCCTGCACTGAGCACGCGGCCTGGCCCGACAGTGGGTGGCTCCAGGTGCTGTGCCTGGCTCTCAGGGGTCTCGGGCCGGGCCGAGCTGCCTTCCCAGCCTCAGATCCCTCCCCAGGACCCCCTCCCCACCCCCTGCCCACATCTGGAACTGCTTGGCTGGACAGTGAGGTCAGTGCAGAAATTCTCAGCCCCCACTCGGCGAGGAGGCTCCAGACAGCCCCCGCCAGGCAGGGGCAGGCGCTGATGCCAGCACAGACGGCCACGGGCCAACTCTGCCCCTGGCTGGGCACTGGGTGGCCCTGGCACGTAGGCATGCACCCCAGGTCAGGTGGGAGAAGCGAGGCAATCGTGGAGAGAGCCAGGACAGTTGGAAAGCCCACTTCACAGATGGGGAAACCGAGGCCCACCCGGGAGCCAGCAAGAGCAGCTGCAGGGTGGGCCCAGTGCTCTCGCCGCCGCTCCCGCTGTGAGGCCCCTGGTAGGAACTTGGCCACAAGTCCTATTAAAGGCTGGAACTGACCGTGGCTGGGGAGAACTGATCCCAGGCTGACCCCAGCTCTGCAGAGAGGACAGGTCCCTCACCCCTGGTGCCCCCTCACCGGGCCCTTCTCAATCTTCAACAGCCGTCCCCGGCCACCGCCTGTCCCGTCGGCACTCACCTGTCCCGAGTCCCCGTCCCTCCAAGTTCATCTCTCAAGGACCTTCCTGGGTTGCTCCCGCCTCTGAATCTCCCTCACTTGAGACAGAGGGTGCTTTCAATCCAAGCCATTGTGTGAGGTCCTACTGTGTGCCAGGAGCTGCCCGGGACCCTCAGAGCTCTGTAGGAGAGGAGTAGGTCTGCACCTGACACCTGCGGGCCCTCTGTTCCTCCCTGCCAGCACCGAGCCGCTTCGGGCACACAGCAGGTGCTCAGATGGTGCAATGACCCTGCCTCCCTGATTCAGGGCAGATGGAGACCCCCAGGTGCAGGGAAAGGTGATGCGGGAAAGAATCCGGGGAACCCCAGCTCGTCCTGGTCCTAATACCTGTCGCTTCCCATCGGAGCCCTACTGGGCGCTCCGCACCATGCCAGGCCTTCGCCATCGGGTCCTCTGTGGGAAGCAAGCAGCTGCCCATTCACTTATTCAGCAAATACTTGTTGAGCGCCCACTAGGTGACAAGTCCTGTGTTGTAGGGAACAAGACAGACAGAGTGTGTGCCCCTCACAGAGCTTCCGGTGTCTGGGGAAGAGGGGCAGATGCTAACTGGCAAAACCGTGTACCCCACTATTTAATTACCATTATGATAAAAAAGTTCTGAAGGGAAAATATGAAGAGTGACAATCATGTACCTTGTTGAGGGGACCTGGCCCTGAAATGAGCAGTCAGGGAGGACTTCCTGGAGGAGGTAACATCTGAGCTAAACCCAGAAGAGAGAGGGCCTGGCCACACGAAGGGGGGAAGAGTGTTCCTGGCAAAGGGAACAGCGTGTGCAAAGGCCCTGGGCAAGGAAGGGTCCAGACGTAGGCTAGGAAGGGCTAGGATGGAGATGGGGAAGACATGTCCCCAACCCCAGCTCTGCTGCCTGGCTGGGCTCCAGCCCCCCTGGCCTTTCCTGCCAGGCACTGCCCCCTTCTTGATTAACCCTCAGTGGCCTGGCATTATTCCTGGACAAGCTGCCCACCCAGTGCCTGGCCATTGTCCACAGCTGTGCTTCCCACCCCTGAGGCTCTTATCGCCCAGAGAATCTGCTCACTCGGGGGCATTTTGTGGGCTGATAAGATTTGCCTGGAGCCAACACCAAGCAGGGGCTGCCAGTCTGACACCACCCCCTCTCCCTGGCACTGGCGGGCAGGCAGGCTGAGCTGGCGTTCTTAACTGCCACTGTATGGGTGGGGCCGGGGCAGGGGCAGGACAGGGCCTCCTCTGGACTGTGGGTCCCACAGCTCTGCCTTGGTTCCCCGTTTGTTAGCAACAGCCCCTGGCTTTGGGGTCCTCAACTTGAGTTCACACCCATGCGCATCCTGCTGGGTGAAGGTTTCGTTCCCATTTTACTGGGGGAGAAGCTGAGGGCACTCTGGGCCATGTGCTCGTCCCCCTGTTGCGTTATTGCTTGAGCCTCTCGGTGTCAGTAGGGGGCATGGTCGGAAGGATGTTCCTGAGGGACAACCGTATGGAAAGCAGTACAGAGATGCCTCAAAGAGCTGAAAGTGTTAATGATAAACCTGCCATTCGACCCAGCAACCCCACTATTGGGTATCTACCCAAAGGAAAAGAAGACTTTTCATCAAAAAAGCACCTGCACCTGAATGTTTATAGCAGCACAATTCACAATTGCAAAGATATGGAATCAGCCCAATGCCCATCAATACATGAGTGCATTAATAAAATGTGGTATATGTATACCAAGGAATACCATTCAGCCATAAAAAAAATGAATTAATACCTTTTGCAACAATCTGGATGGAACTAGAGACCATTCTCCTAAGTGAAGTATCTCAAGAATGGAAAAACGAACACCACGTGTACTCACCATTGAATTGGAACTAACCAAATGCTGTTGTTAATTGTGATGATGCTTGGGGTGGGGGGGCTAGGGCTCCCTAATGGTCCTCGGTGGGAAGAGAAGGGAGTGGAATGGTGGGGTGGGGTCCAGTACTCATGGGGGTTGGGACCTGGCTGGGCTGTGTAGACGCCTTGGACCTTGACCCAGTAGCAACAGTGAATGAACCCAAGAGGGCAGCCATCTTTGAGGAAGCTCAACTATCCCAGACAGGCCAATCAGAAAGGCTATCTGGGCACTGGGGCTCTCAGCCCGGCACAATAGCCCTGGCGGGGCAGCTGGGCGGGGCTGGGTGGGGCAGGGCAGAGCAACCCAGCTGACATCTGGTCTGGAGGGGGACCGTGATGATTCCTCCAGATGGGCACAGGCTCCAGGGACACAGGCTGCACCAGGTTTGTAAACAGACACAGCAGCAGCCCGGATTTGAGGAAGGAAGAGCTGGGAATACAATTAGATGAGAACGTGTCTGGGGGATCCTGAAGCTGGCCTGAGATGGGGGTGCTGGAGCCTTGAGGACCCCGGGGGCCCCCTCCCCCAGCACCAGGCTCAGAGCCAGGGAGGGCCGGAGGGGACACAGGCCAGCCGAGCATGGGTTCCAGCTCCCTCTACAGACTGCTCCAGGCTGAACCTCAGCGTGCTGCTCTGCGACCTGGGGGCTGTGGCCACTTTTGGGGGGAGGCAAGGAGAGGGGAGCCAGACCCACGCGGCCTTCAATCCTCGGTCCACAAGCGTTTACGGAGCGCCTACCTCGTGGCGGTTGCGGGCGCGGGATGTAGCAGTCATGAGGACCGACAGCCTCTGTGCTCGCAGAGTGGGAATTTGGTGTGAGAGACAGAGGATAAACAGCTCAGCAGATACATAGAATATTCTAGGGAATGTCGCATGCTAGGAAGAAAGCAAAACAGCAGCGTCGCCATTAAGCACCTGGAATGTCCAAATTCAGGTAGATGTAAGTATAGAAAACACACTGGATTTTGAAGACTTAGTACCCCCCAAAAAATGTGAAACATCTCATTAATAATTTTTATATTGATTACATGTTAAAAGGATCATAATTCTGATACATTGGATTACTTAAAATACATTATTAAAATTAATTATACCTGCTTAAAATTTTTTTTAATGAGGCCACTACAAAATGTAGAATTGCATCTGTGGCTTGTGTTATATTTCCATCGGGCAGTGCAGGATGGAGGGGAGGGGGCTATTTCAGCCGGAGCAGGAAGGGGGGCTCTAGAGGGGTGACCCAGAGAAATGCCCAGCACTTGAGCTGCAAAGGATCACGAGCCCAGGGGTGCACGGGGCAAGGGGGGTCAGGGGTGGGTCGGAGGCCATGAGGGAGACAGCCTGGAGTGTCCCCCCACCCCAGGCACAGACATGCATGCTGGGCTGGGGGAACGAGCTGGTCTGAGGGTGCCCCCACCCTAGAATCCCCACAGGGCAGGCCCCGCACAGCCAGGAAGTCCCCAGCCCTGCCCCAGCTCCGACAGGGAAGTCAGCGCTGCGTCCCCACACCATGCTCCTGCAGCCCCAAGGGGATGCGCCTGACCACTCCAGCTTCCAGCGCTCCCACCAAGGCTGTTGTGAAAGGCCCAGGGGAGCCGCCAGCTCCCAAAATAACTTCACGCCAGTTCCAGGACAGCTGTGGTAGGCAGAGGAGCAAACGCCAGAGCTGAGACACCACTGGGCCCCAAGGAAGAGGGGCTGGAAATGG